GGAGGGGTCAGAGTAGGAGGAGATGGAGAAAGAGGAGGGAGGAGACACAGTAGGAGGGAGGTCAGACCAGGAGGTTTGTTTAGAAATACGGGGTGGTTATTGGTGAAGTTTTAGACCAAAATACTACAAAACACAGAGGAGGAGACAGAAGAGAAAGTACTGAAGAGTACAAAAATGAAACTATCTCCTCCTACTCTGATCCCTCCCTCCTCTTTCTCCATCTCCTCCTACTCTGACCCCTCCCTCTTCTGTCTCCTCCTACTCTGACCCCTCCCTCTTCTGTCTCCTCCTACTCTGTCTCCTCCTACTCTGACCCTCCCTCTTCTGTCTCCTCCTACTCTGTCTCCTCCTACTCTGACCCCTCCCTCCTCTGTCTACTCCTACTCTGTCTCCTCCTACTCTGACCCCTCCCTCTTCTGTCTACTCCTACTCTGTCTCCTCCTACTCTGACCCTCCCTCTTCTGTCTCCTCCTACTCTGTCTCCTCCTACTCTGACCCCTCCCTCTTCTGTCTCCTCCTACTCTGTCTCCTCCTACTCTGACCCCTCCCTCTTCTGTCTCCTCCTACTCTGTCTCCTCCTACTCTGACCCCTCCCTCTTCTGTCTCCTCCTACTCTGACCCCTCCCTCCTACTCTGTCTCCTCCTACTCTGACCCCTCCCTCTTCTGTCTCCTCCTACTCTGACCCCTCCCTCTTCTGTCTCCTCCTACTCTGTCTCCTCCTACTCTGACCCCTCCCTCCTCTGTCTACTCCTACTCTGACCCCTCCCTCCTCTGTCTCCTCCTACTCTGTCTCCTCCTACTCTGACCCCTCTCTCCTACTCTGTCTCTTCCCTCTTCTGTCTCCTCCTACTCTGTCTGCTCCTACTCTGACCCCTCCCTCTTCTGTCTCCTCCTACTCTGACCCTCCCTCTTCTGTCTCCTCCTACTCTGACCCCTCCCTCTTCTGTCTCCTCCTACTCTGACTCCTCCTACTCTGACCCCTCCCTCTTCTGTCTCCTCCTACTCTGACCCCTCCCTCTTCTGTCTCCTCCTACTCTGACTCCTCCTACTCTGACCCCTCCCTCTTCTGTCTCTCCTACTCTGACCCCTCCCTCTTCTGTCTCCTCCTACTCTGACCCCTCCCTCTTCTGTCTCCTCCTACTCTGACCCCTCCCTCTTCTGTCTCCTCCTACTCTGACTCCTCCTACTCTGACCCCTCCCTCTTCTGTCTCCTCCTACTCTGACCCCTCCCTCTTCTGTCTCCTCCTACTCTGACCCCTTCCCTCCTCTCTTTCCTCCCTACTCTGACCCATCCCTCTACTCTGACCACTCCCTCTACTCTGACTCCTCCTACTCTGCCTTCTATCTCCCTCCTCCTACTCTTCCTCCTATCCTCCCCCCTCCTACTACTCTGCTCCTATCCTCCCCTACTCTCTTCCTATCCTGCCCCCCACTTGTGCTTCGGCCCATTCCACAACCGGGTCTTGAACTTAGACCCATTGGAACCGAAACACAAGTTCTTACGCAGTGCGCCAACCAAGCACTTGCTGATATTTCCTTCGAACTTCTACAAGTACCACAAAGTCAGTCTTCCATGTTAAACTTTAAAAGTCCAGCTGTCACTCTGGATTCAGACCATTCCACATGCGGGTCTTGAACTTAGACCCATTGGAACCGAAACACAAGTTCTTACGCAGTGCGCCAACCAAGCACTTGCTGATCTTTCCCTTCGAACTTCTACAAGTACCACAAAGTCAGTCTTCCATGTTAAACTTTAAAACTCCAGCTGTCACTCTGGATTCAGACCATTCCACATGCGGGTCTTGAACTTAGACCCATTGGAACCGAAACACAAGTTCTTACGCAGTGCGCCAACCAAGCACTTGCTGATCTTTCCCTTCGAACTTCTACAAGTACCACACAGTCAGTCTTCCATGTTAAACTTTAAAACTCCAGCTGTCACTCTGGATTCAGACCATTCCACATGCGGGTCTTGAACTTACACCCATTGGAACTGAAACACAAGTTCTTACGCAGTGCGCCAACCAAGCACTTGCTGACATTTCACTTCGAACTTCTACAAGTACACAAAGTCAGTTTTCCATGTTAAACTTTAAAACTCCATCTGTCACTCTGGATTCAGACCATTCCACAAGCGGGTCTTGAACTTACACCCATTGGAACCGAAACCCAAGTTCTTATGCAGTGCGCCAACCAAACACTTGCTGATCTTTCCTTTCGAACTTCTACAAGTACCACAGTCAGTTTTCCATGTTAAACTTTAAAACCATGACTTAAGCTGATCTTGAACTTAGACCCATCAGAACTGAAACACAAGTCTGTACTTAGTGCGCCAATCGAGCACAGCACTTGCAGATCTTTTCATTTGAACTTCTACAAGTACCACAAAGTCAGTCTTCCATGTTAAACATTAAAATCATTACTTAGGCGGGTCTTGAACTTAAACCCATCGGAACCGAAACCCAAGTGTGTACTCAGTGCGCCAACAAAGCACTTGCCAATCTTTCCATTTGAACTCCTACAAATACCACAAAGTCAGTCTTCCATGTTAAACTTTAAAACCATGCTTTATGCAGGATTTTAACTAAGAACCTGTGGAACCGATATCCTGTTTGTATGCAGTGAGCTAACCAAGCACCTGCCAACCTTGCCGCTCAAACTTCTACAAATACCACAAAGTCAGTCTTGCGTGTTGAAGTTTAAAACCATGCCTTACTCAGGTCTTGAACTAAAAACCATCAGAACCAAAACCAAGTTTGTATGCAGTGAGCTAATCAAGCACCTGCCAACCTTGCCGCTCGAACTTCTACAAATACCACAAAGTCAATCTTGCGTGTTAAAGTTTAAAACCATGCCTTACTCAGGTCTTGAACTAAAAACCATCGGAACCAAAACCAAGTTTGTATGCAGTGAGCTAATCAAGCACCTGCCAACCTTGCCGCTCGAACTTCTACAAATACCACAAAGTCAATCTTGCGTGTTAAAGTTTAAAACCATGCCTTACTCAGGTCTTGAACTAAAAACCATCAGAACCAAAACCAAGTTTGTATGCAGTGAGCTAATCAAGCACCTGCCAACCTTGCCGCTCGAACTTCTACAAATACCACAAAGTCAATCTTGCGTGTTAAGTTTAAAACCATGCCTTACTCAGGTCTTGAACTAAAAACCATCGGAACCAAAACCAAGTTTGTATGCAGTGAGCTAATCAAGCACCTGCCAACCTTGCCGCTCGAACTTCTACAAATACCACAAAGTCAATCTTGCGTGTTAAAGTTTAAAAACCATGCCTTACTCAGGTCTTGAACTAAAAACCATCGGAACCAAAACCAAGTTTGTATGCCGTGTGCTAACCATGCACCTGACACCTTGCCGCTCAAACTTCTACAAATACCACAAAGTCAGTCTTGTGTGTTAAAGTTTAAAACCCTACGTTAAGCAGGTCTTGAACTAAGAACCACTGAGACTGAAACACAGTCTATCCACTGTGCTAACCAAGCACCTGACCACCATGACACTTCAATTTCAACTCACATCACAAATTAGGTTTTTCAAACACACATTGACCAAACAACCAAACCAGTAACAACTTTGGCTCCAGTTACTCCAAATACCACATGTTTGAAAACATTCCTTGCTGAAATGTTTTCAAGGCTTTTAACAGCAAGTAAAAAGGTTTTGTATATTTAAACAAAGTTCCACAACATAATTTTTTTCCATTCTGGATTTACAAAAAAATATCTCTTCTTCAGATTAGTTACAATGGAGATAATTCCCAATGTTTACAACAAATGCTCAACGTCACTGTCCCACCCTTTACAGCTTCATCGCTTATGAAAACATTTTCCACAATGTTTGAGTTTATTTATGCAGATTTGAGTATTTCTAATGAAAACAGTGCTTTTTATTTGTCCTGTCCCGTTTATAAAAAAAAGTTGGGAGAACTCCAAATATAAAAGCTCCGTGTCTATCAGAAAAGACTTGAATAAAGTATTTTTAGGTAATTGGCAAATATGGAAGCTACTGCACCAGCCAAGCACCTGGTAATCCAGGTGCTCCAAGTTTGAATATTTTTCTTCATTAAGATAATTTCCACTGGAAAAATGTAAAAGTTCTATCCCTGCCTGAAGTATGCTGATACTTATGTTGCACCATTCCTAAACAACAAATTACTTTTTGTGTTTCCTCTTATGTTCACAAAAAATTGGAAGCTATTGTGTGAACATGTGTACTATTCTGCTGTTCATTTTGACATGTACGGCCTGGTTTCATGGTTACTTACTTTACATGTTCAGAGTTACAACAAAACATGCAGAGCATCTTGTACACATTATAGTTACCACAAACCTTGGGTCTTTCAACATGACAAACATACAAAAAATATTCAATATGGTAAAGGTCTGCAACATTGATGAGTAGATTATTTATGTTGGATCCATCAGCAACACGATGAAGGGCTCCAGTAATGGGTCAGTCATGCTTGGATGCGGCATCTTCACCTATATGAAACGTAGTTATAAAAGCAGGTTGGTGAAGCGATATTTGGGTTCCATCTCCTGCACTGAGAACAAAAGGCATTCATTGATTGATTGATTACTTACTTACATGCCGAGAGTAAAAAATAAAATGATTTTTAAAAAAACGTACTTGAGCAGAAATTGGCCTTAATTCCAACTGAGTATGATGAAGTTTGTGTGTTTTAATCTGAAAATCCCATTAAATGCTTAATTAAGCATGAATATTTATTTTCTTTACAGACAAAGTTTACGATTTGTACAATAATCTTTCATACCAGAGGTCTGATGCCTGATCACAAGTCAAATCATTTCAAAAATATATATATAAGAAAACATTTACTCAATAAAACAATAAATAGGTTTGAAAATAAATAGCAAAACAAATTTTAGTAAAATTTCACATTCCTGGCATTAGATAAAAATGTGCATTCATTTTGCTTTCTTTTTTTTGTGCAAGCAATAAATATCAAAATAACAAAAACATGTCTATATATATATATATTTTTAACTGAGGTAAGACGTCCAATAAGTTTGCACGAATAGAATCACAACTTCTCAGGATGGTCGCTGAAGGAACAGGACACTAGATGGCGCCAGAGGTTCAGTTAAGAAGTCGTGTTGCTGACGTCAACGTTCTATTATGCGACACTGCGGCTGTGCTGTGACTTTCACATTCAACAAGGTCCGTAGAAAAGCTTCGAGTTAAAGTGCAATTGCAGAGAAATGTGAACTGCTGCAGCTCCGGCTGGAGCTTATGAACGTCATCAGTGCAACAGACTCCAGAGGTTGTCGTAATGCTTGAATGCTGCTGAAAAGGCGGATCAAACAGCGATGAAATCGTTGCGTCTTCTCTTTAATCTGCTGGAAAGAGAAAACAGAAAGATTAGATGATGCATGTTGAAGTTTTTTCGCGCCGGCCATAAAGTGAAACCTCTCACCTTTTGTGGACCAATAGGACCGCTGCGACAGTGATGCAGATGATGATTATTAGGACTGCGATGATCAGAACGTTCTGTGACACATTTCCTGAAGAGAAACGACACTTGGTCAGTCTGCGCAGAAATGAGCCACATCATGTTTCCCCCACCCCAAAAGAGGAAGCTGGGAATCCCTCCCTCTCTTACTGTTACTAATGACATTCAGAGAATGAGCCTCTGGGATTAGAACAGTAAACCTGAGACCCCACTCTCTGCCCCACAGCACACAGTGTGACGTGGGGTTTCCGGGAACATGAAACTAAAGTGAAACTAAATCCTTGGGTGCCTGTGAGTCACAGCTCAGCTGATTAAAGGGAACCATGACTCAGTTCGCTTTGATTCTGTTGTTTGACTTCCAGGACTACGAATTTAAACTGCGAGTCATTAACCTTGAAGAGAGTTTCTGGGATTTCCTGACTTCCTGATTGGTTGATCATTGACACAATCAGGTGTGTAAATCTTTGACATCACAACCAGGCAGTCAGAACTCTTGGGGAATTTCTTATGCCTGTGTGGGACTTCCTTGAACTGGAGCCAGGTACATCAATCTGAAGATTATCTGGAATTTGAACTTCCACAGCAGTAGCACTTCCTGATTGGTTCCCTCCCAGGCAGCAGATCAGGACAAGCGGCCCGTTTACACACATCTCCACATGATAGCTTTTAAAACCATTAAGTTCAGCATGCGTACCTTGCTCCTCCTCACTTTTTCCAAGTGAGGAAAAAGAGAATTCCTCCTGCCTCTGTCCCAGCAGTCCTTGGTTCACTACACAGTACACATGTCCTCTCCAGTCTCTCGGCATCTGCACTGTGATGTTGCTGATGGTGGTGGACGTCCCATCACTGTTGTTGACTGTAGTCTCTGTGGCGTCTGTGAGAGCGAGATCGGAGATGTTCCAGGAAATCTTGGGTGTGGGTTTCCCTGTGGCTGAGCAACTGAGTTCTTCCTTTCTGCTGTTAGGGGCAGAGCTGCTTGCAGAGGAGTTCCATTTCTGCATCTCTGATATCCCTTCATGAAAAATTGGAAACCGTTACTCCTGCTTCGTGTTTTCCGACATTTTGAAACAGAGAAAGTCGTAAAGAAACAGCAGCTCACCTTCCACCTTGAGGCAGATCTGCTTCCTTTTGGAGCCGTCGGGATACACGTTGAAGGAGCAGACGTAACAGTTTTCATCTGCCCACGTCACATCCCTCAATGTGATGGACGAGGAGCTCAAAGACGAATTGTGCAAGATCACCTTCCCTTTAAAAGGCTCATTTATTTGCTCCCCAACAGGTTTGTTGTACGTTGCCATGTTTTCCAATGACTCAGGTCTAAGACCCCGCTGCCAGGTGACCTGCAGAACGCCTGCGGGGGAAACAAACAGTCAGTACATCACCGGTGACCTTTGAGAGAGTCCTGGCTGTTTGTTGAGAGCCAGCTGTCAGGAAAACGCTCCAGATGTGGGACTTTACCTGTTGGGTTTGCGAGCGTACAGTTGAAGTTTGCCTCGCCGCCGTACGCGACTGTGGTCGTCCCATGGAGGCTGATGGGAGAGGCGCAGGCTGGAAACAGAAATACAGAGTCAGCAAACAGAGTCAGCAAACAGAGTCTAACGGTTCAACAGGGTGAGACAGAATAATCAGAAAATTATTATTGCATAAGTCCTAAACAAAATAAATAAAATAGAAACACATGAATCCATAAATTACATGAATATAAAGAAAATGCAATAAATAATGTAATAATGTATCAAAAGTAAACCACAAAGGAAACTGAAAATACATTTCATGCTAATAACTTAAGAAAATAGAGATAATAATAATAAATGACGCAAGTGCATAAATAATAATGTATATTTTATGATATACAATCATAAAATTTTAATTGTATTATTGTAAAATAATATATTTTATTTTAAGATATATATTTGTATATATCATATAAAGTTTGTTACAAAATATAATAAAAGATATATTTTATTATTTACATGAACTGGATCTATTTTTTTAGCCCAACTAATCACAAATTAACTTAAGATACATTTAATGTTAGAAAAATAAAATAGCATTTTAATATTAAAATAACATTTTTTATATGAGCCAAATTCTTACAAGCTATCATAAAAATATCTTTGTTTCACTGTGTACTGCACAACAATATCATTGTTTAATAATAGAGTCATACAGTCAGTACAGGTGAAGCAAAAATAAAAGTCAAAAGTCGTCTTACCATTAATAGCCAAACAGAGGACAGAGAGGATCAGTAGCATCCTGTCACTGCTGCAGCAACTAGAAAATAGTTTCTCTTTGTGCTGCGCTGCCTTTATAGCACTGGGTGAGTTTCTTCTGACTCATGGAAATCATTTGTGGGGGAGGAGAGAAGGTGCTTCCCTCCGCCTGCAAGGATTTGTCAACATATTTTCTTTCAATTCAGTTTAATAAATAAATACTGCAAATCATTTCTGAGGAAAGTTAAAAATTTAAAGATCAGATTTGAAGAACAAACAACTTAAAAAAAAAAATCAGACAAACTTAATTTGAGGTCTTTCCATGTCCGCTCTATGGTGTTTATTTTTTATATTTCTGCTAATAACATTGGAGCTAGTCAAAACACCGACTTTTGCACATATATATATATATATATTTTTTTTTTTTACTCAGCACCCAGTAAACAGTGTCATCACTTCTGGAAACAATATTTACTTGATCTTGCTGCCAGAGGGGAAAAAACACTGATACCAATAGTAGAAGTTCCCTAAAGTTCTTGGCTTACTCAAGGTTTATTTTCTGATGCATAATCACATTCTCATGTAGCAATGCGTCTCTCACAATCACTGGTCCCTCAGCAGAAACAGTGTGTCGTTTTCTCGTCTTTCCCATTTTGAAGAACGACTAAGAATCACAAACCAAATACGAAGTTACGCTGTTACATTTCTGGATTTTGTGTTGGTTTCTCATTTAATTCCCGTATGACATGTTCTCCTTTCGCGTCCAGGCGGTGAACCACGTCTGGCTTCAACCACAAAAACCACAGCAGAAGAAAAAAATGTGACAGAAGTTTGCTGAGCTCATGTTCGGTAAGTTTCATCACCGCTCAGATGCCGTGACACGTTCAGCGTCCACTTCACGCCGTTTCGCCCGCCTTCTACAGGAACATAAAACCAACTCCTCCAGGGAATCTATGAACCACGCATGAACGTCATGTCAGAGGAAATCTAAGCTGTGATTTCCTCTGTTCTATCAAGAAACAGAGAACAGGAAGAGGCATTTAGAAGCACAATAAATTTGGTTGGTTGAATCATTACTGTTACTGTAAACCCATGTTGTGAAACAACCATACGATTACCAAGTAAAGCCAACTTGTCAGATCATTTCTTACATCTTTTATAGTTTGCAGAGACGTTACAAAGGATTCTTGTGCACAAAGGTATCAGTCAGGAGAAGGATGCAATGAATACAATAGCATTAAATTTCAAAGTAATTGAAGAAGACATGGGATCGTCAACAGGTGAGCGACGCATTGCCAGGAAGAGTTATGTGAAGAACAGGAACATCCAAAATCCTCTCAGACTTTGAGGAAGGACTCACTGCTGCAGCTCAACGCAAAAATATAGTTTCAGGCTGACTGGGATCTGAGGTATGAAAGCATAGCACACGCTTTGGGGTGGACATTTTTCTATTTCCAATAATGGCAACGACAAAATCTTAAAACAAACAAAAAAACACTAAATGGTTAATTGATGCAAATTGTATCCCAAGTTCAAGATATTTCTGAAAAGAGAAACCTAACAGTCCAGACTGAATCACAACAGAAACTGAAACTTAGCAAAAGGATCTTAAGCTCCTCTGTGAGCAACAAACTGAGCCCCAAAACCTTCATGTATGTAAAGCTGCAGATTCATTTGAATCAATTGCACAGCATCACGTTTCAGGTGTTTTTGTAACGCCTAATAAATAACCGGTTATTTATTAGGGGTGTGTTGCTCCACGTTGTTTCCTTATTTATGGGGAAGTTCCTCTTTAATTCCTCAGAGTCACGAATATGAAAGAACCTGGCAGCTCTGGGTTGTGTTGCTGCGGGTTTTTAAAAGACACACAAAACATTTATCATGATTAAAATATGACATTGTTTTTGCTGCAGTGTTTTTTCTATCATATTTCACTTTCAGTCTGAGTCTCCTGCGAGGTTTACTCTTAAGCACGCATTAAATGTCTCTTATCATTATGTAAGTGGACCACATGGTTACAGCTAATATGACCATAGCTACTGTATCTAAATGGATAAATGACAGTAATTAAGTTATATAACTTGGACTAAATTGGGGCAGGGAAGTACCTTTAATACTGAGGTTCAATCTGGTTTTAAAGCAGAATCAGGTTAGAAACATTAGCTGCTTTGAGTTTTATGAATCTAAATTAAACCTCCTGTCAGACTGAAACACAGTCGGGTTTTTTTTTATTGCAGGTGTCACTTCTGTCATTCACAAACTTCTCCATCTGACTGTCAAATATAGTCGCAGTCTGCCGGTCAGTCAGAAAGCAGTGGCTCCGATTGGCTGTTTTTGACCAATCGTCAGGCAGCAATATCAGAGGGAGGGCATGGAGGAGTTGGACCTTTTTACAGATTATCATCATTTCAGGTAACTAGTTTTCACTCAGGACGTTTCAGAGAAAAAAACAAAAGAAATTACCTGTGGTGGTTCCCCTAAAGATCCTCAGAAGATCCAGGCATGTTGTTGTTTTCAAATCCTGCTTCCCAGTCTCGGAGGTTTGAACTTTTACCGGGGAATACCTTCATAAACAAAACAACCACAGTTCACACACATAAAACCATGACATCGTGACTGATTAGGAAAAATAACCATCATTTGTGCAAATAAAAAACAAGTGTGCAACTCTATGTTTGGAGCAGCAGCAGTTTATCTCTGTGTTTTGGTCTTACATTAAAAAAGATGCTTTTCAGCAGAAATTGAAGCTCTTACCCAAACAGAGTCGGTTGTTATTAAAGGAAAGGTGGACGCTCTCAGTAGTGAAAGTGATATGCATTTAGGGATTTTTTTTGCAAGTCACTGAATCCTCATTAGCAAGTATCCTGCTGAACCTGCAGACTCAGTCATGATAGCTGATGTTTCTTTGGGGTTTTCTTTCGGCCATGAAGTTCCTTGAATTGTGCTGAGCAACCTGTTCTTCTGACCCCCAGTACTGCAAGTCTGCACAAATCCTGAGCAACAGTCGCTGTAACAAACAAGAAAAAATAACATGACGGACAGAAAATGTGAACACAGTCGGCTGCAAGAATTGCGTGCATAGATGGAGAGAAAAAAAGGAAGTTACACAGCTGATAAATAAAGAGGAGGGGGTTTCAGGTCAGATGTTCTTGACCTCTTACTTCCTCTGCAAGTAAACAGGAATGTCGAAGTTAGAGTCCGGGGAACACCAGACTGCCAAAACATAAACAAAGAAAATGTGCTTGTCAAAGGCTGCAGAAATGAAAGTAGAATTAAAAAAACAAAAATATTTAGACTTATGAAAGATTGTATTGTCCCGTTTCTTTTAACGCAATCAAATTAATTCAATTAAAGCTTCCTGTTTCGGGATGTGAAGGGTTCTCAAAATGCAAATTGAATTTGCATTCCAAGAGTCCTGCAAGTTTTAGATGGTCCATTCACCTGAATCAAAGACTGAATGACCTTCAAGACTTTTTGATTCATTGTGTTCAAGCAGAAAACCGAAAAGTGCAAATTGCATAAATATATTTTATTCCATGTGATATTTATTAGTAATAAAGTATATTTCGGTGATCGGTGATGCATAATGACAACCTGCTGTTCTGCTAGAATAAATGTCTTTTTATTCCACACAGATTACAGCAAACTCATTCACACAACAAACAACACGTGATGCTTAGATTCTTATAGTGACACAAAGACCGGAGAGCCATCAGTCTGGGCAGAGCAGCAAACACGTGGCTGGACGTCCGTATGAAACCCAGAGCAGCCTCTGCCAAACGGAGGGGCTTCTCCACCTTTATACTCATCAACAAAAAACCTCGCAGGAGAGAAAGGAAAGGCCAATTTCCCTCTACCAGACGGGTTACCCAATCAGAGCGCTGCTGCACTCCGTGGTAAAATCGCCACAAACTCAGAGCATGACCTCTCACCTATCAGCGCTTGACCCCCGTTATCCACAAGCTCCATGACTGACAACCACGAGCTCAGAGCATGACCAGCTACACAATGTGGGTTAAAGGTTTACCAGAGTATAAAATGAGTATAAACACACAACTTATCTAAGAACATAAAAAATTCTCATATCAAGGCTCTTTATACAAATAACAGTTTATCAGAATTATTTAGGGCAGAATTTTCTTTAATAATTTTTTTAAATTAAAAATTGTGCAAAAAAAGAATTAATGAGTTTTTCTTTGCATTTGATCCTAAATGGAGTTTTTTCTTCTCTAACTTAATAGCACGCAATTATTTAAGTGCAGCAAACATGCAGCCTTCAGTGTGCATGAATGAGTAAATTTGGTGGTTAAGAGCGGCTCATGGAGGCGGTCCCAAACCGCACAGCTGAACTATTTAATGTGAAACAATAAATGAGGGGTTGTAGTTTAAAACTGTAGAGCCGGGATGTCAAAGTCAAATACACTGAGGGCCAAAAAACCAAATTTGCTGCAAGCCGAGGCCAAACAGTGTATATTATTGGATAATGAAATGAATAAAGCAATATTTTCTTATGGATCTGTCAGTAACCTCAAGGGAAAACAAATTCAACAGGCAAACAGCAAAAATTTAATTGTTTTGAAAAACTAAATATGTTTCTTAATATCAAGATAAATGCATAAATTATAAACTGAAACTACATTATTGTGCTGCTCTATGATGTTGATGCTCTTGTCTTTGTGTTTCTGAGAAGCTTGTTAGAGCCGTCTTAGATTATATTCTCATTACAGCCAGACTATCTAAAAAAGTAACTTTTATCAGATTACTGATTACTGATCAGTAATCTGATCAGTAATCAGTAGATTACTGATTACTGATCAGTAATCAGTAGATTACTGATTAACAGTAAATAGTTGAAATAGTCATTTAGATTACCACTTTATGAGGAAAGTAACTGACATTAACAGTAACTATTTACTGTTAAATAGTTTTTAAGTATTTGACAGTTAAATATTTAATAACTATTTAAGTTATTTACTGTTAAATAGATAATAACTAAATAGTTATTAACTATTTTACAGCAAATAAATAGTAAATAACTATTTACTGTTAAATAGTTAATAACTAAATAGTTATTTAGTTATTAAATACTTAATAACTAGTTAACTATTTAACAATAAATAGTTAATAACTATTGAAGTTATTTACTGTTAAATAGTCGCAGTAAATAACTGTTTAACAGTAAATAAATATTTAACAGTAAATAGTAAATAACTATTTACTGTTAAATAGTTAATTTATTTATTTTTAAATAGTTACAGTAAATAATTATTTAACTGTAAATAGTTATTTACTGTAACTATTGTTGCATTGTTGTTTTCAGCAGCTGCTAACAACGCAGTGAAAATCATATTGATCTTTGACAAACGTTAATAGTTTTGTCAAAGATTAAAATGATTATTTTCTAATGATTATTTTATAATGGTTATTTTATAATGATTATTTTCTAATGATTATTTTCTAATGATTATTTTCTAATGATTATTTTATAATGATTATTTTATAATGATTACATCATCACTGTGTTTCCAGTTATAAATTTAAACTGAAGGAGAGATTGTTTAATGGTTACCACAGTAACCATGGTTACTACAGTAACCATAAAACAACATCAAGTTAAAACAGTAACAAAAAAAACTTTAGTAATTTGTGCGTCTTTTTGTGTTTCTATTGTCTGGAAAACAAAAATAGTATTTTAACCTAAAACAGCAACTCATAACATCAGTAAGCTAATTAAAAAAAAGAAAAAGCCCAAAATGGCTTCTAATAATCGGCCGTTTGGAGCAGAACTCAAAATGCACATCTCCCTCCACTGTCCATGTTTCTGCCACATGGACGCTCCCCAAGCTGCAGAGAGGAAGACAAATTTAATTACAAAATAAAATAGAAACACAAAGTGATTTTTATAAGTCACTGTAGTCTGACTGCAGGACTCGACTTTGATATATGTGCAGTAGAAAATGTAAAAACAATGGCAAACTGAAAAAGGATACACCCACGTGAAAAAGATCCGTCCATCCGCCCGTCCATCCGTCCGTCCTTCCGCCCATCCTTCCACCCATCCTTCTGCCCATCCGTCCATCCACCCGTCTGTCCGTCCGTCCATTGTCTGCTGCTAATCCAGTGTCGGGTCTCGGGGGAAGCAGCTTCAGAAAGGAGGCCCAGTCTTTCCTGTCTCCAGCCTCTTCTTGCAGCTCCTCTGATGGAACCCAAAGTCGTTCCCAGGCCAGCTGAGAGACATGGTCCCTCCAGCATGTCCTGGGTCTTCCCTGGGGCTCCCTGGGACCCTTGTGAGGGACCAGGACCTCGGACTTGGAGGCATAGATTCTCATCCTGGCCGCTTCACACTCGGCTGCGAACCGCTCCAGCGAGAGCTGCTGATCACGTCCTGATGGAGCCAATAGGACCACATCATCCACAAAAAGCAGAGATGCGATCCTAAGTCCACCAGAACGGATCTCCTCAACACCTTGACTGCCCCTAGAAATTCTGTCCATGAAGTGATGAACAGAATCACTGAGGGCAGCCCTGGTGGAGTCCAACTCTCACAGGGAACGAGTCCGACTAACTGCCATTGTTCCACGACCAGGACGAAAACCACACTGCTCTTCCACAATCCGAGGATCCACTATCAGACGGAGCCTCCTCTCCAAAACTCTTCCATCCTTCAACCCAGACCTTCTCTCTTGAAGAGACCCAACAGTGCTTCAGAGAGTTGGGCGTGTTTCTGTCTTGATGGCAGATTTACAGCACTTTTAAAAAATCCATGATGGTACCCAATATCGTAGTGTACCCTCCTGGTACATCTGAACAAAAACACGCCCAACTCTCTGAAACACTGTTGGCTTGGGCTCATCCACCATCTTTACTGCCATGTCCTCATTTGTCTTTGCAATCTGGGCATGTGCTGACCTTGACTTTAGCCTGTCTAATTTAATTTTCAATGTCACCAGTTTTTTATTTAATTCGTTGTTTTCATTCTCTAACCACTGGCGATTTCTATTTTTTCCCTCAAAGCATTCTCTGCCCTCCTTCTGATCGAAATGTTATTTGACTCCAGTCTTTGGTTTTCCTTGCTTAAGTCTCTGCACTGTTGTTTCAGTGATTGAATTGTCACTCTGGTTTCCTCCAGCTCATTATTGAGCGCCTCGATTCTCCATTGTTGTTGCTCCATCCTTTCCTGTAACATTTTATTTTCGGACATCAAATCAGCGATGCCACTGTTTGTCCTCCCAGTTAGCTGGTGTATTTTCTGCTCCATGCTGTCCACCGTTGTTCTTAGCATGGAGTTCTCGTCCTGTAGCTCCATGCATCGCTTATCAAGAACCTCCACCGTTGTAAAATACTCCGCCATCGCTATGTCTTTTTTGAACTTCGTCAAACCGCAAATGAATCTCTCTGTAGAATCTTGGAATATAGAGACAGTCTCCAGTGATGTCACAGAGAGGATGAGTGACATCACAGTTTGTGATGTCACTCGAGGGGGGAGGGATGCGAGGGGAGAGTGACATCACAGTTTGTGATGTCACTCCCCCCTCCCACTGTTGTGTGTGAGGGGGGAGGAACGGGGGAAGATGTTTTTTTTAACTTTATTCGCAGACACACTGTATAACGACAGAGTGAAACATTTGTTATGCCTCAAGAAAAACAAATACAGATAAACATTGTTCAAGGAAAAGCTAAGGGGCTTTGGTTCCCAACTATACATTCAAAGCAGTGCAGATTTTAATTGTTTTAATAGTTACTTTTTGTCAGAGTCTTGATATAAAACTTAACTTCATTGTAATATGCAGCAAGGCATGGACTTTTGTCAAACTATTACTTGACAAAAGTCCATCTGCTGAAGGTTTTTTAATCAATTTAGTTGTGTAAATGTACCAAAAAATCTCCACAATTGATAAGTGACTTCTTCACAAAACACCAGGAAGCTTGACAGGTTTCCCCATTCGATGCAGAGATGCTGTAATGTGGGTCAGGTTGTAGTTGCCAAGCTTCTCAGATTAATGATGCAGCAAACCATACCTCCAGGGACAAAAGCCCCACTGACAGCTGGGCAAACACACACCGAATAAACTAATTACTTACTTTGGTAATTGATCCCAGGAATGATGTGTAATTAAGTCGATAAGGTGTCTGCAATTAGCCATGGCCTATAAAAAAGAAAAGGTAAACAGTTCAAATCATATTTGTGCTTCCTCTATTGGTTCTGATTACAGCATGAAAAACAGGCGGCTGATTGGCTGCAGTGACCAAAAACGACGAGAATCAGTTTTAGTTACCAGCACACAGAATGCAAAGTCAGAACTAACATGAATGAATAAACTGGTTGGGAACGATCAAAACTTAATACTAAATATGAACGCAGATGAAAAGTATATAGGTTGTCTGATGGTTCTGTGGTCAAAAGTTGCACAAATTGCACAAGAAAGTTGCTTTAAAATATAAAAAGCTTCTTAACGATGCAGAACTGGAGTCTTCACTTTTGTTTCCATCCATGTGGAAACTCGAGCTGAAAATCCTGAATCATCATCATCATAAAAAACGATTATGAGGAAGACCTCACGCTCAAAACCACATCCATGCAGTAAGTCCAATCCACACTTTGATCAGAAACAGGAAAAACCACTCAGTCTGTCGGTCAATGTTTGGTTTGGGCTTCACTAGAAGGATCAGTTGCATAAATATGCTGAATATGTCTGACAAACATTTATTTTTCTCTCAGTTCTATCATGACCCTCCATGAGGAGGGTCATGATAGAACTGAAGGCCTCTGGGCCTTCAGTTCTATCATGGCGTTCTGGCGTTCAGTTCTATCAGGCCTCTGGCGCAAGATGCACCTCAATCAAACTTACTTGATTAAGTTTTATGTAACAAACAAGTTATTCACTGAATAGTAATGAAAGTCACTACCAGTTTTTACAGTGGAACAATATTTTCCTTTCTAATCTGGTGAATCGATTAAAGTTTGAGACAGAAAAAGTACCTCAGACTCCAACTGCACAGGTTCGGCCGGTCCGCCAATCAGCTGCCAGGGAACAAACGCAAGATTTTAAGGTGCTTTCAGGAGAACTTGATTTTCCAGTCTCAACATCACAAAGACGTTGCTTTGATTTCCCCCCTGCTTGATCACTGAATATGGCTGCTTGATGAATACATTGGTATGTGTTCTGCTACTAGACGACCCGGGCCGACTGTAACGCCTTCGCCTCTCCTTTTTGGTTCATATTTGCAAAACGTACATTATTTTTTTGAATGTCTTGAACATTAAAATATTTTGAATTTAAAATCTTGTCTATTTTATGAATCAAACCTCTTAGATTATTTTTAGTGACCTTTTTATAGCTTTTGAGGGATGTATCTTGTACCCCCTGCTGGGGTAGATGCGCGACCATGACGAACAGGAGGAGCGCTGCCCTGCAAAATGACCTGCAGGTCACAAATGTGTCTGCAGAAACGGTTAGGAAGCGATTGAGTCAAAAGAAACAAGTTGAAAAGTTATTGAAACAGAAAATAAAGCAAGTGGTGACACTTAATAATAACGCTCCTAGATGTATAGCAATATAACATACAGGTTATATTGCTATACAGTATGTTGTATTGCTAAACAATATGTTATATTGTATAGCAAATTGCTGTACAAAATAACATATTGCTATAAAATATGTTATATTGCTATACATCTAGCATATAATATGCTATAGGAATCTATTCCTATTCCGGATATAGAAATAGATTTCCTATTTCAGGTGTTTTATTTTGAAGGAGCATGAGGCTACCGAAAAATTAACATTATATAAATATTAAGGATACACTTGTTGAGATCACGGCAATAAAAAAAAGTATTGAAGGTGCAAGAGAGCCACCTGGCGGACATCAGACGGTACTTCACTCATAAAACTTAATACTGTAAAACAAGATATTTGCATCAGCTATTTTAAAGAACACAATAAAAAAAATTTTTGCCCTCATCCAACATTAAATTGAACAAAATGTTCTAGTTTCTGAGGCATAAAGTCCAGAGTTTTTAATGATGGGAAAATAAAAATAAATTTAAAAAAAATCACAGTGATCTGAGAGAACTAAACCCAACTGCACAAATAACACAACATAAGAAACGAAACACAAATGAATGAGCTTATATGGCAACAACATTAATGAATACAAGGACATTTACTGAGTTTGGCAAGACATATTGGACATAAATAAACTACAAGGAAATAACCGTAAACACAAATTAAACGACAGCCATGGGCTGTGAAGGCAAATTTGTCTGTTCAAGAGAAAATATTTGCATAGTCAGAATTAATTTGACAGCTGTGCGATGTGGCTGTTGAATAAAGTGAGTTTTCCTTCTGAGTGTAGGAGCTGTACGGCTCAATTTCAGTCAAATCCTGCAGAACAAAACATGTTGAACAATAAGACTTGCTTAAAATCTGCATGTAAATAAAATCAAATGCATCCATAGATTTTGATGAACATTACCTCCTCTAGATCATCTCTGCATGATTCTGGTTGCCCTCTGTTAGGAAATACAACAGTTATAAATAAACAGACTATTATTACAGTGACTTATAAAAGACAGGAAACTAAAATAGAGCTCAGTCTATCAGTGCTATGACAACGAGGCCAGATTATTCTTAACTACAAACAGAACAATTTTTTCCTTAAAAAATAAGAGCGCTGACGCTGTTAACTTGATTCTGAGTAAAAGAAGAAATTATGAATACTGCATTAGTGTCTCACCGATGTGAACGTCTTCTGTAGATAAACACTAGAATAACTGAAACCATGATCATTAGAACTGCAGCAGTCAAAGCAGAAGAAAGAGTCACTGCTGCAGACTGGCTCCAAACTTCATCTGCTGGATTATTATCAGGATTTGATTCTATTGGAAATAAAACAAACATTGTTAGAGAATATTTGGTTCATATGAGTTTGACATAACATTTATATAGATCCACTCACCATTAACTGTGATGCAGAGATGGAGAAACTGCGGTCCATGAAGATTTGAACAGTGACAGGAGTAGTTCCCACTATCAGCTGCTGTTAAACTGGTCAGGTGCAGAAACACAGTTTGATTCCTGGTTTTTAGTGAGAATCTGGAGTCACACTCATGAACAAAGTCACCTCCATCCTGATACCGTAGATTGCACTCCTCTGTTCTGATCTTACAAATGATCAACATGATGACGTTTGATGTTTCGTTGGTGCAGATTGGAGTGAAATCAGATTCTTTCCCGATTGTTTTTACATGAGTCTCTGCAAGAAATTAAGACCAAAGAATGAGAAACTGATTGCTGTAAGAGTGGAAATTTAAATGATAGAACAAATGAAATTAAGGTTGACAGAAACTAAAAATTTAGTGAAAAACAATTCAAGACTCAATTGAAAGAAAATTAAACTTTGTGCTTTACCTTCAGCATCCAAAAAGCAAACAAAACACAGCAGAAGCAGTAAAAGGTTGATTCTCACTGCGTCCATCTGACCTGCTTATTGATGCAACATCTGCTGCTGCTCTGAACAGAGGATGTCTCAACTGTCCTCTAAACTTTTAAACCACAAATTCTCATGTCTCAAAGAGGATGTGACTTTTTCTGAAAAGGAAACACGTCTACATAACAGTGTCACTTTGAAACAACAGAACACAAACCAGAAATATCTGCACATCTAAACATTACAGTTTAAAAACCATGTTAGCTCAAAAGTTTGCTTAAAACCAAAACAATCAACTATTCTCTGCGATTGTAAACATGTTTTCTGCACACAGAAAACATGTTTTTCACACGTTTTCCTTTGTTCTGGCAAAGCCACCATCTTACACCAGAACAAAGCTGGTGGCATGACAGCCTGTTGTCATGATAGAAGATCTAAATGTCATGTTTGCTTTGTGGTCTTGACAGTTTTACAGTGTTGAATGTGAGTTGCAAAGAGAAGACACCTCCCTGCTGCAGGTTGATGTAAAATGGGCCCATTTTTTAGTCCAACAAAAACAACAAAATAGACTGCCTTAATGTTTCAATAAAAGACAAAAGCAAGACAAACTTAAAGGAATTCTTATGCATTTTCTTAAAATGTATTTTTGGCTGAGAGTTTTTGTCACTCAGATGACTTTGGCCATCATGACAAAAACGTTTGGACACCACTGCAGATCAGTGATGTCCTATAACACATACGTTTTCAAGCAAGAGAAATGAAAAACATAACATACTAATACACAAATAATAAGCACATTTTATATGTACATAAGTCCCATGCAGCAAATGCACTAATAGTGTTTTAACAGCTTTGCAAAGACAGAAATGGCACTTTCTGTTCCTAATAGTCAATAACGTGAGAATGAACTTGATTCTGTCCACACAAAGAGGTAAATTAAAACAGTAAGTCATAAGAAAATTCAGCCTGATGTAAATCAAACTGTATCTATCCTGACAGATTTTCAGTTTTCATAAATATTCCTGCTCTTTCCCAGTTTTTCCAGGCCGCGGGTGACTTTCTTCTTGGCAGAGTTTAAGGAGACGGTTTGATAGAGGTCTCTGGATGGCCGCTGGAGATTTACGTACAGCTCATTCGAGTTATCGTCATCCTAAACAACAACAACAATAATAATAAACATTAAAAACAATTTTGAAGCAAAATACTCTTAATCAATACAGACATTAATCTATGTTGCTCCTTTGTGAAAATCTTCCTAGAACTGGTAAATCTAATTACTGGAAGGCAGAAATTGACAATAACAGAGTATTTATTTATTTAATTATTTATTTATTTACTTATTTATTTTTTCTAATTCACATTTGCAACAGTTTCTTCTCACAGTTTCAGCACAATTAACATTAATGTATATATGCATATTGTGATTGTTTATCCTGCATCTATGGTCCTGTGTTGGTGCAACAGTGCCATCTTGTGGTTATTTCCTAAAGTACATGAATCCTTTTCTTATGTAAATGAATTCAGTTCATTGATCTGTTCTTGAAGCTAAAACAGTCTAATTATTGAACAAGAATTAATCTCAAATTTTCTCCGGTCAAGGATTTGTTCTGTTAATACACTAAACAGATTTATTTCAGAAGATTTAAACTGCAATATTCTTTTTTTATTCAATGTTTTATATACAGACGAAACCACAACTGTGTGTGAAACACAGCTTTTTATCTCACTGTCTGAAATTAAGTCAGGTAAAACGTCTTATTTTGGGTTTGTTAGAATTATCAGAATTATTTACATTTTCACAATAAAGATATCTGGTCTTATTATTTAAACATCAACAAGTCTTGTTCAGTGGTGTACCACAGGGCTCTGTTTTGGGCCTTCTGATTTTCTCCTTGTCTGTTGCCACTTGGATCTATTATCAAACTCCACAATGTCAACTTCCCATCTGCAAATTTATCTCATCATCTGGGTTTTACCTCGTTGTTTAAAGAGACAGAAAACATTCTCGTAAAAATCTGATTTTGAAAACACAGCAATCAGATACAACAAACTCTCTGTTACGAAAGCAAAATAGCAAAAAGAAACAACTTGATGATAAAACAGATTGATAGGATGTTTCCTGATGTCGCCCTGGGCAATTGAACATATGACTCAGATCAAAAACAAAAACTGGATGGATGGAAAGATAAATGGAAAATGAAAAAAAAAAGTTTTTCATTCCAGCCCGACTGGTTGCTACACGCTTGTAATTTCTAAAATGATCTGCAAAGTACAATAGAAATTGGAGAATAAAACAGAATGCCTGTTCTTGTGTTTACTAGTCCTTTTTATGCCATTTGGCAAAAGAATTGGTGCAAATTATAAAGTAGTAAATTATATTTACTCACTATAGTGGCAGCTGATCCATGAAAAGATGATCCAGATGTTTTGGATCTAAAGCAGGTGGAAAAAATCAGGATTAGTGTCAAAGTAAAATCATCAAAATGTAGAATTGAGACAAACATTCAATAAAAAGTCAGTTTTCACAAAAGATAATGGAATAAATGGGCTGAAGAAGCAGAAAGAGACTAAAAATGACATGAAAATCAACTATTTTAGTTGAAATAAACCTTTGAATTAGTTTCTCACCTTAGTGAATGTCTTCTGTGAATAAATACCAGGATGACTGAAACTTTGATAAGTAGGAGAACTGCAGCAGAAGTAAGAATCACTCCAGATTGACTGAAAACTTCCTCTGATGAATGATCGTCGGGATTCGAATCTTTTGGAAGCAAAACAAACATCATTAGGGAACATATAGCTACTAAACATTTGAGATAAGCAATAGAAAAGTGTCTCACCATTAACTGTGATTCTGAGATTAAGAAAATGCGTTCCATGAATATTTGAACACTCACAGGAGTAGTTCCCACTATCAGCTGCTGTTAAACTGGTCAGGTGCAGAAACACAGTTTGATTCCTGGGTTTCAGTGAGAACCTGGAGTCACACTCATGAACAAAGTCACCTCCGTTCTTATACCGCAGATTGCACTCCTCTCCATTGTTCCCCTTTGTTCTGATCTTACAAATGATCAATATGATGATATTTGATGTTTCGTTGGTGCAGATTGGAGTGAAATCAGATCCTTTCCTGATCGATTTCACAAGAGGTGCTGCAAACAGTGAAGTTCAACTGATGAGAAATAGTTTCAATGCTATAAAAGTCAATTGAGAAAAAAATGGATGTAAATAAAATGAACAGAAACTGAAACAAGACGACTTCAATGCTACCTTTGCTGTCCAACAGCCACACGAAACATGGCAGAAGCAGTAAAAAGGTGATTTTCATCGCATCCATTTAACTTCCCTGTGACTGCAACGTCTGCTGCTGCTCTGAACTGAGGCCGTCTGAACTGTCTGTACGTTTTGGGCGACTCAAACCACAAATTTTCATCTTTCAAAGTGCTTCACGAGTTCGAGACACTTTTTCCGAAAAGGAAACGCGCCCACTTTGACCACTGCTCTTTGAAACAACAGAGCACACAAACTGCAGGTATATTTGCATCTGTTTAGTTGTTCTGTTGTGTCAAAAGTTTGCTTCAAACCAAAACAATCAACTCTTATTTATATTACCGAGAAGAAATGGTACTTTTCTGTAATGTAGCATCTTATATCAGACATTGACACAGATAAATGCAAACCCAACCGTGCAACTTGTGGTCGGCAGGACTTCCTGCCGCTTTTCCTGTATCTGTAGGGGCTAAATAAGACGAGATAAAATCTACATGTGATGTTTGCTTTGTTGTCTTTATATATTTTGAAGCTCGACTGTGAGCTGGAAGAGAAGAAAGCGTCCTGGAACAGATTGATGTAGGTCAGGTCCCTGTTTGTTTCTCAATGCCACACTTTCACACCAACATGTTCACAACCAGGCAGAAAAATGCAACAAACATCCATCAGAGACTGATCTGTCATTTTATTAATGTCAACAGATTATTGGTCCATTACAATTCCTGTGCCTTTCCAGATGTTCCAGGTCGTCGGTCATGATGTCGTTAGCCGAGTTTGATTTATTTTCTTGCTGATGAAACAGTTTGGTAGATGTCTGTTGTTGGCCGCTGGAGACGTGTGTACATATCACCTGTGTTGTCTTCACCCTAAACAATAAAATAAACAGCAAAGAACAATTCAAAGAATTGTGAGACCTGTTCATTAAATGCAGCACTGAAACATTTTCTTACATTTTTAACTAAAATATATATGTTTGCATGAATAACACTGCTTTAGTTACTTAGTTTGGATACTGCAGCTCTCAGTGCAACAGTGCCATCTTGTGGCCATTGTCTGCAAGTGCAATATCTAAATGCTACAAGTTTGTAATCTCTAAAACAGGTTGCAAAATTCAGAAGAAAAAACTTGAATTTACTCACAATATCAGCAGCAGATGATCCAGATGTTTCAGATCTAAAACAGGCAATAATAAAAAAGGAATTCCAGATTAGTGTGACAGTAAAAAAATTTTGCAGGCAGTTTAGCCAAACGTATCCAAAGAAATAACAACTTAGGTAAAATATAATAGAGTAGATCATGAGTCAAAATTAAAATATGCAGTTTTAGCTGTTAAGCTGATATTTAGGCAAAGGATGAAATTATGAATACTGCATGAGTGTCTCACCGATGTGAACGTCTTCTGTATATAAATCCCAGAATAACTGAAACCATGATCATTAGAACTGCTGCAGTCAAAGCAGAAGAAAGAGTCACTGCTGCAGACTGGCTCCAAACTTCATCTGCTGGATTATTATCAGGATTTGATTCTATTGGAAATAAAACAAACATTGTTAGAGAATATATGGTTCATATGAGTTTGACATAACATTTATATAGATCCACTCACCATTAACTGTGATGCTGAGATGGAGAAAATGTGTTCCATTAAGATTTGAACACTGACAGGAGTAGTTCCCACTATCAGCTGCTGTTAAACTGGTCAGGTGCAGAAACACAGTTTGATTCCTGGTTTTTAGTGAGAATCTGGAGTCACACTCATGAACAAAGTCACCTCCATCCTGATACAGCAGATTGCACTCCTCTCCATTGTTCCTCTCTGTTCTGATTTTACACACAATCATCATGATGATATTTGATGTTTTGTTGATGCAGATTGGAGTAAAATAAGATTCTTTCCTGATTGTTTTCACAATAGTCCCTGAAAGCAAGAAAGACCAATGAATAAGAAACTGATTGCTGTAATATTGGAATCTTTTAAAAACTAGAACAGATGTAATACATTTCAAAGAATATTGAACTTTAACGTTACCTTCAGAGTCCAGATGCCATGCAAAACACAGCAGAAGCAGTAAAAAGTTGATTCTCACTGCGTCCATCTGACCTGCTTGTCGATGCAACATCTGCTGCTGCTGCTCTGAACAGAGAGTCTCAACTGTCCTCTGAACTTTTTTTGGCCAACTCAAACCACAAATTGTCATCTCTCAAAGTGGTTCAAGAGGATGTAACACTTTTTTCCTGAAAAGGAAATGTGTCTACATCACGGGGTCACATTGAAACAACAGAACACAAACTAGAATTCCCTCTGCACATCTCAACATTTAGTTAGCCAAAAGCTTCACCTAACTTTTTCCCTGTTAGGTAAAAAGTTTGCTTAAAATAAAAGCTCATTTATATCAACCATTACTGAAATGTATTTTAATGTACTGTTGCCTCTTGGATCAAAACAGAGCTGGCAGCACACAGCATTTTGTCATGGCACTTCCTGTCTGGTTTTCTGCCCCAGCAGGGGTTAGTTAGTAAAACTTAAGATCTAAATGTCATGTTTGCTTTGCTTTGTTTAGGATCGTGAATATGAGCTGTAAAGAGAAATAAAAACGTCACACTGAAGGTTACAGCATGCAGTACATTAAAAGTAGAAATACTGTTAATGTGCTGCAAAATACCCATCTTCCATTTTTTTATGTTAAAAATAGATCCTTTTAAATAGATGTATTTTTTCTGTGTATTATTATTATTAAATCATGTCATTATAAAAGTATCCAGGACATAATATGTGTAAGACGATTACACATATCACAGAAACAACTCACCAGCTCAGGAAGTATGATGAGAAGATTAATAATAGTTTTCTGACATTTGATTTACTGAATGTTTCAACAGCTTTAAAGGAAAAAAACTTAAGACCTTCATCATGTGCTGCTTTTGTCAAGATTGATGCAACAAACTTGCACAATTTTGCAAAACCCTTTTTGAAACGGCAGACAATAAATAAACCACATTGTTTATTGCTTAAACAATGTGGTTAAAAAGTGACAGATGACCCAAAAAGATGTTAACTGATGTCTAAATGTGGTTTAAAGGTGATCAGGGCTGATCATAGTCTAACCAAGTCTGACTCTTAATTTAAAATTGTTTGGGTTTTTTTTTTTTCAAAATTTGTGAGACATTGTTCAGTTATGTTTTCCTACAGTAAATAAAAACAAAAGCCAGCAATGTTAAATGTTTACTCAAACCTATTTTTACACAACACAAATATTAACAAATGTACTTTTTTTTCTTTTAATAAATCACCAAAAATTATAACTTTTCTTTGTGTTTGCTTTGTTGTTTTGTTCATTTATGCTAAACCAACATGCTGCTGAGATCTCTGGAAACATGTTAATGGATGTACATATATATCCATTTATTATATGAACACATGAACATGTCTTTATCAAAGGAACTTATAATGAACACTGGGAAATGAACCCAATGTGTCAAGACCTGTTGGACATAAATAAATCAGAAGGAAATGATCTGAAATACGCCAGAAAAAAAAAATCCCAAGAATTATGATGGTAAATTTGTTAAACATTTGTAGAGTCAGAATTAATTTGACAGCTGTGCAATAATGGCTGTTGAATAAAGAGAATTTTTCTTCTGAGTGTAGGAGCTGTACGGCTCAATTTCAGTCGAGTCCTGCAGAAAAAAACATGTCATAGAATTAGTTTAAAAATCTGCATGTGTAAATAAAATATTGCATCAATTTTTTGAATATAAATTACCTCCTCTCCATGATGAATGCATGACTCCGGTTGCTTTCTGTTGGGAAATAAAGCAGTGTGACATTGACTTGTTTGATTGATTAATATTTTTACAGAAAAAGTACATTTCTTTATATATATATATATATATATATATATATATATATATATATATATATATATATATATATGCACATTAAATATATATTTCTTATGTTGAGAAGTCTAAGTGTAAATAAAAGAAAAATACTGCATTAGTGTCTCACCGATGTGAACGTCTTCTGTATATAAATACCAGAATAACTGAAACTATGAAAAAGAAGATCACTGCAGCAGTCAAAGCAGAAGGAAGAGTCACTGCTGCAGACTGGCTCCAAACTTCATCTGATGGATTATTATCAGGATTTGATTCTATTGGAAATAAAACAAACATTGTTAGAGAATATATGGTTCATGAGTTTGACATAACATTTAAATAGATCCACTCACCATTAACTATGATGCTGAGATGAAGAAAATGTGTTCCATTAAGATTTGAACACTGACAGGAGTAGTTCCCACTATCAGCTGCTGTTAAACTGGTCAGGTGCAGAAACACAGTTTGATTCCTGGTTTTTAGTGAGAATCTGGAGTCACACCCATGAATAAAGTCACCTCCATCCTGATACAGCAGATTGCACTGCTCTCCATTGTTCCTCTCCGTTCTGATTTTACACACAATCATCATGATGATGTTGAATGTTTCGTTGGTGCAGATTAGAGTGAAATCAGATCCTTTTCCAATTGTTTTTACAAGATGTGCTGCAAACAGAAAAGAAGAATGAATGACCAACTATCTCATATACACTACCGTTCAAAAGTTTGGGGTCACCCCATTGAGTACTGTAGCTCCTGTGAGGAGCTAAACTGTTTTCAGATGTGTGCACATGATTGCACAAGGGTTTTTGAAACATCAATTAGCCTCTGAACCAATGAGCAATCACATTGTACCATCAGAACACAGGAGTGACAGTTGCTGGAAATGGGCCTCTATACACCTATGTAAATATTGCACCAAAAAAAGACATTTTTAGCTAGAATCATTTACCACATTAGCAATGTATAGAGTGTATTTCTTTAAAGTTAGGACTGGTTTAGAGTTATTTTCATTGAAAGGTACAGTGCTTTTAGTGACATTTCAATGTGACCCCAAACTTTTGAACAGTAGTGTATGTATCAGTGGAATTTAAAGTAAGTCAGATCAAAGTACAGTTCTAAAAAGTGAAGGCCCCCGATTGATAAAAAATCTCAAAATTAAATTCAAAGCAATTCAATTTTTACGTTACCTGTAGAGTCCAGTTGGCAGCCAAACCACAGTAGAAGCAGTAAAATGCTGAATCTCACTGCATCCATCTAACCTGCTTATTTCATGCAAATCTGCTGCTGCAATGAACCGAGGACGACTGAACTGTCCTTTAAAACTTTTTGGCGACACAAACCACAAACGCTCATCTCTCAAACCAGCACAAAAGGATGTGACTTTTTTTTTTTTTTTTTTTTAAAGGAAATGCACCTGCATGATGACTTCTCTTTGAAACAACAGACCACACAAACAGGAATTTTCTCTGCACAACTCAAATAAGAGTGAGTTGATTGAAAGCAAAACAATCAACTATTATCCATGATTATATTTTCCAGTACTGTAACATCTGAGATTAAAGCTTTGTCAGCATTCTATGATGCTCGGCAGGATTTCCTGCTTGTTTTCTGCAACAATGTGGGGTTAGGAGATCGAAATCTCATGTTTGCTTTGTGGTCTTCACACATTTATAAGCTTGAATGTAAGCTGCAAAAAGATTAAAGGTCATGCTACAGCTTTATGTAGGTTAGGTCCCTCATTGCTCCTTTATGCAACACTTTTAGATAAACATATTGGCAACCAGACAGAAAAATGCAACAAACATCCGAGAGACGAATCTCACTGCAAAGATGCACAGATACAAATGCATTAGAACTGCTGGTTAATACAAAAAGTTAATACATTTGTTCTTTCATTTTAAAATGTTTATAAGTACATATATTTTTCCTTAAATGTTTATCAAAGCTGCAGATGCCATCAGAAATATCACTATTTACTGTATGACAGTAAATTCTTAACATCTTGATATGAAGGTTTTTGCTCAGCGACAGCCAGAATGAAATTATGCAGATAAAACTAAAACAATAGAAAGGCTTGCATTGTGGCATCACTTTTAAGCAGCCATAAAACAAAAATGTTCATGGATATTCAGTGACTGTTTTTATTTTAATCTTCCACCAAGAAACAAAATTATATCCTTCCATGTAGAAACAGAAATCAGATCCGATTGTAAGTTATTGTGCTATACAGGTGAAATAGTGGCCATCATTTTCAAAGGTGGAGTAGATTTATTTATATATCATTTTTAAAATAAAAATGTGGGAGCTGTTTACAGAAAAAAAGGGGAACATAGAAAAAAAACACCAGATATGTCAGAAACATGACATAAAAGCAAAATCAAGTCGAAATAAAGAAAATGTTAAATGCCAAAAAAATAAAATGAGTTTTGTGTTAAAGTTTAACATGCAAACCAACAGAAAGGTTGTGAAGTACAACATAACAAGGAAATTCTGTTGTATTCATCAAGACAGATGTTTAATTCAAAATGTTTTCATAAATGTTTCCCAGCCCGTCAGTGACATTTGTTTCTGATTTATACTGATGGTGACCAAAGGAGACAGTTTGATAAATGTTTCTGGTTTGTTGTGGGAGACTTGAGTACAGTTCATCCTGAACAATAAAAGACAAAAATATAGTAATAAGAACCTTCATGCAAATGGCCAAAGTCAAGTGAA